GTTGGCCTGATCTAGCAGGGCTGTTTTCTGAATGGTATCCCCTGTTCAGTTTCAGGAGCTGGAGCCTTTCGAGCGGGTGATTGTTAATTCCCCCAAGGCAGAAAAGGACCTGTCGGACACCGAAGAATTACAGCTCCCCATGGCGGTTGATCAGGACAGCGATGGGGAGGCAAACTTGCTCAGTAAGTGTTGCTGGAAGAGAAGAGCCTGGGGCTGATGGAACAGGCTCATATTGGAACCAGATCTGAGGAAGAGAGAGGCATTCCCTTAGGAGAAGCCCATTCCTCGGGGGATGGGGATGAACACCTATCTTCTCATGCCAAGGATACTTCTCCAGTGGGTGGAGGGATCGTGGTAGTGGGCGATTTGATGATTAGGAATATAGATCATGCTGCATTTGCAAGAAATCTATATTTTAACGCACACTTTGGAACTCACTGTCTGTTGACGTCAGGCAGGTGCCTTCACTGTACTCCTTTTGGTGCCAGCTAAAAACATTGTTGAGGCAAGCCTATGAAGACATGTTGAATGCTGACGTGTGTTTTAACCTGTTTTTTAACTCATTGTTGATTTCAGTTATTTTTGATGGTTTTAAATTGTTGTTTTAAGCTCTCTTCTTCCTGATAGTTTCATTGTTTTACTCTTTTTGTAAACCTCTTTGAGGGTCCCCCCCCCCGCAATCAAGTGGTTATATACAGTTTATGAAATAAATTGATAAAATATTGAAGACTGATATACTGACTTTTTCTACCCCCTGTCTAATTTTTTAGCCTTCTTTCATGCCACCCCCTGCCACTGCTCCATGCTTTTCCTAAATGGAAAAACCTCAGATTCTTTAAACCAGTGGTTCCAAAACTTTTTCAGGTGATCAACTCCTTGATTCCATAAACTCATATGACTCCAGTGTTCCCTATCCTATAAAAAGCATTCTTCAGAATAGTGGTTTGCACAAGCCACAAAAAAGACAGAAACACAATAAGGTTCTAAACAGCAACAATCAATTGTGCATTTATTCAAAATCCAGTTAAAACTATTTAATTACTTCAACAAAATGGATGAACTTGATCCAGTAATCTCAGCTTTTCAAAGTCTGATAGACACCCCCAGGGCCGGAACTGCCACCCAGTTGCCTCTTAGCCCCCTTCCCCAGCACTGCCAACATTGGGCACTATTCCTTTAGACCCACATTCTTGTTCTCTCTTTGTTTTATTAGGTGATGGGCAGCTTAGCGAGAATGAGGAGGAGAATCGTCAGCTGGAGAGACGTGAGCAAGCTGAAGCAAGCTGGGCGCCCAGAGAAAAAACCCGAGGGGAATTTACCCAGGATTCTCTGTTTGTTTCCGGAACTGAGAAGAAGGAGAAGAATCCTCATGTAGAAAGACCCAAGGGAGTGGAACTTAATGATGTCTCCTTGGAAAAGGGCAGCGGGGCTTTGTTCCAGGTGTCTGAAGGGCCCGCAAGTCAGCAGGGGGTGAAGAAACTCCAGGAAGACCCTCTGGGAAACACCCTGAGGAAAGGCGTTAACTGCAGAGAAGAAGATGCTCTACGCTTCAACAAAAACCCCTCCCAAGAGAGAATCCCCGATGAGAAGGCAGAGTGCAGGAAAAGCTTCACCCAGAGCCCCGACATAACTCGTCCGGAGAAGGCGCCATCGTACGAGTGCTCCTACTGCGGGAAGAGGTGGCCTTGCCAGTCCCAGCTGCGCCGGCACGTGAAGATCCACACGGGGGAGCGGCCCCACAAATGCCCGGACTGCGGGAAAAGCTTCAGCACCAGCTCCAACCTCAGCCAGCACAAGCGGGTCCACACTGGGGAACGGCCATACAGCTGCAAAGACTGTGGGAAAAGCTACCGGCGCCGAGCGTCGCTGCTCCAGCACGAGCGGGAGACCTGCCGGAAGGGTAGCCACTTAAACGCCCCGGCGCTGGGTTACGTGGTCCTGGGCAACTGCACTTTGCTGTGCATGAAAAAGTCGGCGCAGGGCGGGAGGAACCGCGTGATCGCGCCAAAGGGAGGGGAGGCTCCCCTAGCCGCTCAGGCCTTAAATACGTTGACGGGATATGTGCCGGAAAGTAGCCATCCCAATGATTAGAGCACAAGGGGGTGGGGGCAGGGGCAGGACAGAGAAATCCTTCGAAGAGCGTGGTTGGAGCTTTATTTAGGAATCGACAGCGGCAGGAAACGCACCCTTTGTGATGCCGACTCCCTGTGGCAGCTCAGTGTGTAGAAACCTGTCCTATCTAAAGAGTTTGGCCTATAGAGGAAGGGTGAGAGCAGCCAAGGAGCGCAACTCAGATGCACAGAAAAGGTGTGGTTTGTTGGGCCTGACACATTACTGAGTGGGAACGATTTGCCATTGCTTTTAATCCAGACTGAAAATATGCTGGCCCTGATAACATCATACGTCAGGAATGCACTGAAAACGTTGTTGGGACTTCAGCTCCCCAGCAGCCCTAACCAAAATGGCCAGATGGGAGCTGCTGGTCCAGCAACGTGCAGAAGGCACCACACTGGTGATTCCCACCACACGTTTTCAAAAAGCAAGATCTGCCACATCAAGCAGAACACTAGCCATGTACGGGTGACCTGCCAGGCACTTAACAAGCAGCCTTGTTTTTGCAGGCCCCAGCAGGCCACCGTACATGGGCTGTGTAACATCTGGGCTCACTCAGCTGATGGGCGAGGAATGTGTGTGTCACGTGTTGTGCAGGCTTCAAATGCAGTATGCGACAGGAGTGGGTCTGGAAGTGTGTTCGGATTGCGAAAATGCCACGAAACCTTGGTCAGTGAGCACAAGTCTTACCTACGTGCAGGAACTATATAAATATTCTGTTTGAGAGAAACATCAGCTGTTGCATTTGTCTTTTATTCACTATCCGAAAAGAAACCCTGGGAGATCAACCAAAAGGGTGACTGTCATTGGGAAAGTGAAATTCTGTCTTTTAATTCCTTAAGAGGAGGATTTGGGGGGGGGTTCTTAAAAAAAGGTTTTAGTTTTCATCAGCTCAAGCTGGATGTCAAATTGCAACCCTCCACACTACAGTGAAATCTCCTAAAATTTGAGTTATGAGATAGAGGAGATTCTGAGCTTAAGTCATGATCAGCAACTCCATCAGGGATAGGAAAACCTTTGCCCCTCCTGATGTTGCTGAGCTACAACTTCCCTCATCTCCGTAAGCATCCTTGCAGGTAGACTGAACAGCTATACCAAGACTGGACCAAAACCTTCAGTGGCATTTCTCAGCCTTTTTAGTTAACTGCCAATTATTTGTTTTGGCTGAGACTGGCTTTGGACAACAGCAGCTATACACACCCATACCTTGTGTTAGAAAAAGGTTGATAGGATCCACAGACTTTCCACCGCTACCACCCCTGGACAGCCCATGGGGGGGGGTTGCTCGTAGCATTTCAGGAAGTCATGTTCTTCCATTTATAAAATGCATTGTTTTGATATAATATGGGTTGTACTAAAGGTTTCAAGCTTCCAGTATTCATTCCCTTGTATAGAAAAAGACTACATGTTTGGTAGGTTAAAAATGGTTTACTTACAAATTCTCCAAAGGTCAGGTTCATGTGCTTTCCCATACAGCATTCAGAAAAGGTTGCACAGGCAGTAAACGTGGCTTCGTTACAGTGGCGGAAGTTCTTAAATTATTGGTATAGGAGCTCGAGTGGGGCTTGTTGGAGCTATACAGTCTGAGCTTGGAGCAGTCAGCTCTTTACATGCTGAGTTTCTCAGGTAACTTGAGGGTACAACAATACAGTCTTACAGTCTTTCCCCACTGACATTTAGTTTTCCCTATACACAGTATCGAGGCTAGCCCATTAGGGCCAATAGGGCACTGCCGCATCAAATAGCTTTCGGCCAGCCCAGTCTGGCCTGCTTTCATACTTGCCTCCAGTCCAGGGGGTAGCCTCATCTGTCAGCTTCCTGCTTAGCCTCAATTTTGCCTTTGTGGAATTCAGCACAGAAGAGGATGGGAACAAAACCAGAAGAGGCCATGCCACCTTCCTGTAAGAAAGGAAGACTTCCCCAGACATTTGTCCTCCCTACAGCCAAATGTCTGTGGCTGGCTAAAGATCACCAGATGGGCTTCAGTCTAGACACTGTCAAACTCCCATCAGCACCATCAACAGTGCTTTAAATGTACAGTGTGACCCAACTCTAGCCATTCAGAGACTCTAATGGCTTGGGATCCTAAATTAAAAGGACAGGAAAGGTTCCTTCTGTGAATTTTTAAGTGAGCTTCTCTTAGGATCCAATACAGTCCTCCAACCCTGCTGACCACTGATGCTTGCTCTCTTTGGGCTTTCAAGATGGCTTCTGGTGGTAACTGCTATTTCAATAGCAGCAGCTGGCAAGAGCAGAATCCCATCGCCAGCATTGCTGCAGCTTACTAAAAGAGGAGACAGCAGTGATGTCAGCGAGGTGCAAACACGCCATCAGGGGCACTGGATTTGTTCTAACAATGCATCTGCACTACTTGCCACACTCACTAAGCTACTGAGATGCCGGTAACAGGACAGATAAGCACCACTGACCACTCCTGCCCTTTCTGCTGACCACTGAAATGCACAGTCTCATTCCCTTGGCTTTGGAGACAACCTAAGGTTGTGTGGCTCTGCCATTTCAAAGCTGCCTTAGCAGTCTACAAGGCCACAAAAGCTTTTTAAAGAGAAATGAAACAGCAGCAGCAACTGAACAATGAGATGATATCGCAATGAGGGATGCGGGTGGTGCTGTGGGTTAAACCACAGAGCCTAGGACTTGCCGATCAGAAGGTTGGCGGTTCGAATCCCCATGATGGGGTGAGCTCCCGTTGCTTGGTCCCTGCTCCTGTCAACCTAGCAGTTCGAAAGCACAAAGTGCAAGTAGATAAATAGGTACCGCTCCGGCAGGAAGGTAAACAGCGTTTCCGTGTGCTGCTCTGGTTTGCCAGAAGTGGCTTAATCATGCTGGCCACATGACCCGGAAGCTGTACGCCGGCTCCCTGGGCCAATAAAGTGAGATGAGTGCCGCAACCCCAGAGTCGGTCACAACTGGACCTAATGGTCAGGGGTCCCTTTACCTAAATATCGCAATCTCTGGGTTTTCTTACAACCCAGCAAAGGTTATGATGATTAATTCCTCCCAGGAGTTTAAAAAGTCTGTGACTGGGCTGGTGATGCATTCTCCCCTCGTCACCGCTGATCCATGAAGGTAAGAACTCTGATTTGTGCAAGCTATTTTCTACACCAATGCAGTGGGGAAAAGCTAAGTTGCGTCTCAAGTATGGGTCCTCATGTGCCTCAATAGGTACACTCTGTGATAGAAGCTCTTTCCGCACTCTGGGCATTGTTGCTGCTTTTTGCCATTGTGGGTGCTCTGGTGTCTACGAAGGTTGGCGCTCTGGCAGAAGGATTTCCCACACTCGGAGCAGTGGTACGGTCTTTCTTCCGTGTGGATTTTCTTGTGTGCATTGAGGTGCGCCTGCTGGTAGAAGCCCTTTCCGCAGTCCGAGCATTTGTATGGTTTCTCTCCCGTGTGCGTCCTCTGATGCCTGATAAGGTACGCTCTCTGATAGAAGCGTTCCCCGCACTCAAGGCATATATGTGGCTTTTCGCCATTGTGGATGCTCTGATGTCTACGAAGGTCAGAGCTCTGGTGGAAGGATTTCCCGCACTCGGAACAATGGTGAGCCGCCTCTTCCGTGTGGATTTTCTTGTGTGCATTAAGGTGGGCTTGCTGGTAGAAGCTCTTCCCGCAGTCCGCACATTCGTACGGTTTCTCCCCAGCGTGGGTCCTCTCATGCTTGACGAGGTATTCTCTCTGACAGAAGGCTTCACCGCACTCGGCACATTTGTGCGTTTTTTCACCTTTGTGGATCTTCTGGTGCCGAGAGCGGTCATTGCTCTGACGGAAAGATTTCCCACAGTCTGCGCATTCGTAGGGCTTCTCCCCTGTGTGGGTTCTCTCGTGGGAAATAAGGTGCGACCTCTGACTGAAGTTTTTCCCACAGTACGAGCATCTGTATGGCTTCTCTCCGGTGTGCAGCCTCTTATGTTTACAAAGCACACCCCGCCGGTTGAAAGATTTGCCGCAGTACAAGCACTTATGAGGTTTCTCTCCTGTGTGGGTTCTCTCGTGTTCTTTAAGGCTCCCAGTCCCTGTGAAGCATTTCCCACAATAGGAGCACCGGTATGGCTTTTCTCCTGTGTGCACTCTCTGATGGCTACAAAGCCCGGTCCTCCGATTGAAAGATTTCCCGCAGTCCAAGCATTTGTAGGGTTTCTCACCCGTATGGGTTCGTTCATGGACTCGAAGGTACGGTTTCTGGTGGAAACCCCGCCCACAATCTGTGCATTTGTACGGCTTGTCAACTATTTCCAGTGCCTGGTTCTTAAGGGCGACAGAAGTCTGGCTGAAGCTGACCGCACAGTTGATGCCTGCCTTCTTAATCTTCTGCTGGTTGACTCCTGCTTGGAAAGTGCTTTTGCTGAATTCTTCTTTGCCTTCCCCAACGTAAGAGGCTTCCTTCACTTTTCTTCCTGGATCACTTCCCATGTGGCTTTGTGGTGCCTGTGGCCATCTGCGCACCTCTTCCAGTTCGGGAAGCAGGAATACATTCCCCTCGGATATTCCCAAGGGCGCCCCACTGAATTCCACTTGCTCATGTGGTGCCCACTGCACGCTCTTTTGTCCAGCTTTGCGGTACTGCTTGTTGGCCCCTGAAATGGAGAGAATCTCAGCATAAGCACAACCAGCATGTGGAACTCAACGCTACAAGATACACCTAATCGGCTTATGGCATCTGTTAGGGCGAGATGAGGCAATGGGTGCAAACGAAGAGCCAAGCTACACCAATCAGGAGACTCATGGGACACAACACAAGGGAATGGGCATCCCTGGTTCAAGACCAGGTTCCCCCATCCCTGCTCTGAGGCTAGAATGGAAACCAAGGAGACTGGCTGGCCTGCTCATTCATTCATTCATTCATTCATGGACTCCTTCGTTGCCCACAGTAAGCACCTGAGTTAATAAATACAAGGCAGAACAGAAGCACCTCAGAATGAATCTGATACAATTAAAAATGTTATTGAGTAATTTATTGGTTGTATTTACAGTCGTACCTCGGCTCTCGAACGCCTTGGGAACTGGATGTTCTGGCTCTCGAACGATCGAAAACCGGAAGTGAGTGTACCAGTTTTTGAGCGTTCTTTTGGAAACCGAACAGCCGACAGGGCTTCCGCAGCTTCCGACTGGCTGCAGGAGCTTAGAAGCCGTGCTTTGGTTTCTGAACATTTCGGAACGGATTCTGTTCGACTTCCGAGATACGACTGTATTTCCCACTTTTCCCCCAAGGAGCTCAATGTGGCATACATGATTCTCATTTGTTGTTTAGTTGTTTAGTCGTGTTCGACTCGTGACCCCATGGACCAGAGCACGCCATGATTCTCATACTTCTCATTTAATCCCTGAAACAACTCTGTGAGGCGAAGAGGCAGTGGTTGGTCCAAGTCACCCAGTGAGCTTATTGGCTGAATGTGGATTTGAACCCTGGTCTCTCAGGTTCTAGTCTGACACCCTAACCCACTACACCACACTTGCTCTTGCAACCTCTCATCACCTAACTGGGCTCATTCTGCTTATTAACCTTGCCGTTAGGAATAACTTTCTGAGGGTAAGAGCTGTTTGGCAGTGGAAACAAACTGCTTTGGGAGGTTGTAGACTCGCCTTCCTTGGAGGTTTCTAAGCAGAGGTTGGGTGGCCATCTGACAGGGAGTCAGCATTGCAGGGGGTTGGACTAGATGGCCCTTGGGTCCCAACTCAACAATTCTATGATTTTATTAGTTAGCACACACTTTGGAAGCTGTTTGAGTACTGAATACTTGCTGTTGGGCACTCTTCAAAGTTAAAGCAATCACAGTGAGACTTTAGATGTGGAAAATAAAGAAAGCTACGTTTAGTACAGGAAATGTGTATTGCATAGTAAAGAGTTCCTGGTTCTAGCAAACTAAACTGGAGATGCAAAAGGAGCCAGACTCGCTCTTTTGCTCTCTATGGGACAGATAAAGACAAAAGGAAGCTTTCTCCCCATGTAAACCACACCAGTCTTCATATAAGCTGAGCTGAATCCCAACTCCTCCTCCAGAACTTACTGAACAAGATGGCTGCACCAGCACGCTCCGTCTGGGCCTCCGTGGCAAACTGCATCTTCACCGCATCTGACAGGCCGTGCTCAGCATCAGAGGGATCAACAACCACCCCTTCCAAAGCCTTGGACAGCTGGAAATAAGAGCAGGTGTACAATTATCTTATGAGAAACAGGAACTGGGGCCTGGTTATATCAAGGATTGTCCTTTTCTTTTCATAGTCACAACCCAACACACAGAAATTCAGCAGACGAAAGGCTTCCTGTTGCTTCATCACAGGTCCACATATCTATATCTGGCCCTTGGAACCCTCCCAGGGCCACATTTGCTCTCCCCAGGCCACCCCCTTCCCTGTCCTTACTTCACACCCTTATTGTGGATTTTTGCCTTTCTGGAATGTGTCTTTGACCTCTGATAATGTCTCTTGCTGGTCTGGATGGAGCCTGCAAAGGGTTGTGTTAATATCCATAGAACCTAGCTTACTGTAAAATAAGGGTGAAATTTGCATCCATTGCTTCAGCCAGCTTTGCCTCTGTGGAACCATTCAGAAATTGTGCCCCTGCAAATGTTGTTCCAGGAAGCATGAGCCAGAATGAGGGATGATAGGAGCTGTAGTCCACTAACATCTGGAGGACGACCAGTTCTCTATCCCTACAGCAACTGCTGAAGGCCCATCGCTTAGTAGCAGAGATTTAGGTAAAGGTAAAGGGGCCCCTGACCATTAGGTCCAGTCATGACCGACTCTGGGTTGCGGCGCTCATCTCGCTTTTTTGGCCAAGCATACAGCTTCCGGGTCATGTGGCCAGCATGACTAAGCCGCTTCTGGCGAACCAGAGCAGCGCACGGAAACGCCGTTTACCTTCCCGCCGGAGCGGTACCTATTTATCTACTTGCACTTTGACGTGATTTCGAACTGCTAGGTTGGCAGGAGCAGGGACCGAACAACGGGAGCTCACCCCGTCGCGGGGATCCGAACCACCAACCTTCTGATCGGCAAGTCCTAGGCTCTGTGGTTTAACCCACAGCGCCACCCGCGTCCCTGAGATTTAGGTACTCACCTGCTTTTCACTTCTCTGAGCCCTCTGTAGTCCCAGCAGAAAATCCTCCGCCAGGGCCACCGCCTGGGCGCAGGTCTGCGGGCAACCATCCCTGACCCAGCTCTGCATTTCCTGGGGCAGGACGGCCAGGAACTGCTCCAGGGTCACCAGCTCCAGGATCTGCTCCTTGGTGTGTCTCTCCGGCTTTAGCCACTGGCGGCAAAACCCCTGGAGCTGCCTGCACACCTCGCGCGGCCCCTCGGCCTCCCAGTAGCAGAACCGCCAGAAGTGCTGGCACTGTTTCTCCAGGCCAATGGGCTCTTCCTCTTCCAGAATCTCTTCTTTCACTTTCGCAGGAGAATCTGGGCTGCTTTCATCAGTTTTCATGGAGGCTTCTCTAGGAAGGCTGGGGTGAATCAGGGTGGCACTCTCTTCTCTCGGCCACAAGCCAGCCTCCTTGAAGGAGGAGGCTGGGAATTCCTTCAGGCCTCCCCCTAAGTGGGGTGAAGACAGCTGTGAGGCTCTCCACCCTAAATACGGGGCCTGCATGGTCTTCAGGAACTCCTGCCACTGGGCCTCCCAGCACGGCTGCAGCTCCTCCTCGGGTTCCTGCTTAATTGGCTTTGGAGCCATTCCAGCCAGAAGCTTCTTTTTGGTCCCACTCTGGGCACCGTGAAAAATTTCCCCTCTGGACTCTAACCTCTCCTCTTTCTCAGGTGCTTCTGGGTAACGTTCTTCCACTTTCGTCCTCCTTTGCACTGCAAAAGGAAATTCACAGGCATAAGTCGAAAAACAGGGCAGTGACAAGCAAATGTAACCTCCAATCAACATGTGTCAGTCAAAAAACATTGAGGTTGCCAACATGGTACCAGTGGGCATTGGTGCGCACACCAGTACTCCCCCTGTGGTGCCCATAAAAGTGCTCAGTACATACACCCTCACAACCCACCAGGGCCGTAGCAAGGGGGTGGTGAGGAAGCCCCCCGCCAGGGACGCAGGAGAGGGGTCCCCCACAAAATTGGCTAAAATATATGTCCATAAATATGTCTATAAATAAAAATATTGATTATTGCCTCATAAGAAAAGGTTTAAAATAGAGGCTCTTTATATGATATTTGGGGCGCTGTTTTCCCCTATTTTTTTCTGTGCCACATTCCTAGTAGGCACAATCTGAACAGTTCTGCCAGGGGCACAAGATCAGCTATCTACGGCTCTGCAACCCACAAAGCCCCAGTACGATACACACTTTGGTGGAATCAGTAGGAAAACAAGATTCTTGATTTCAGGAGCCGGCAATGAGTAAGAAGCAATAAATAATGGCTGCCATACTGAGGACTGTTGTTGTTGTTGTTTAGTCGTTTAGTCGTGTCCGACTCTTCGTGACCCCATGGACCAGAGCACGCCAGGCACTCCTGTCTTCCACCGCCTCCCGCAGTTTGGTCAGGCTCAAGTTTGTAGCTTCGAGAACACTATCCAACCATCTCATCCTCTGTCGTCCCCTTCTCCTTGTGCCCTCCATCTTTCCCAACATCAGGGTCTTTTCCAGGGAGTCTTCTCTTCTCATGAGGTGGCCAAAGTACTGGAGCCTCAGCTTCACGATCTGTCCTTCCAGTGAGCACTCAGGGCTGATTTCCTTAAGAATGGATGTGTTTGATCTTCTTGCAGTCCATGAGACTCTCAAGAGTCTCCTCCAGCACCATAATTCAAAAGCATCAATTCTTCGGCGATCAGCCTTCTTTATGTTAGGTGAGCCCTATTCCCCCTCACAGAGCAGCAACTCCCAGAGATCCCTGAAAAGAGAGATTGACTGATAAGCTACTCTGATAACTGTAGCCAGTGCTTTTTTTCTGGGGGGGACGCATAACTCTAAAAATTTCCTGAATTTGTTTGGCCTCATTGAGGGGCAGTATTTCAATATGAGTAGGAAAATGAGAGTACCCCTAAACTTTTTTTGGGGGGAAGCACTGACTGTAGCTCTGTGAGGGGAATTGAGGGGTCTCCTAACAACATTCAGCCGCTTTAGCTAGCTACATTTCCCAGAATTCTTTGAGGGTAGCCATGACTGTTAAAGTGGTATAATACTGCTGTAAAAGTAAGGTGGAAATGTGGCAACAATCAAAGTGCACTGCTCTACAAATTATTGGGGAACCTGTCCACACTTCTCCTTGTTCCGCTATTTCCCCGCTCTTTACTGCTGAATTGGAGCAAATGTCCATCGCATTCTCCGCATGTCGACGTCTGCTCTGATGCAGTGGCAAAAAGCAGGTTTCCCAGGGGAATGAGGTGGAGCAAGCGGAAAGCCACTTAGGCCTGTGCTTCCTAGGCATGGGACCAGCCCAAAGCTTTTGCAATTGCTGCTGACTCAGTTCTTTTCCGACCTAGGGTTCAAGAGGGGCGCATTCTGGCCGGTGCAGCAACCCCCTGAGGCAAGGTTTGGGGCACCTGAGACCTGCCAGGTGCTGTTGGATTCCAATTCCCATCAGCCTCAGCCAGCATGGGCAACAGCCATGGATGATGGGAGTTGTAGTCCCACAATCTCTCAGAGGCCCACAAGTTTCTCTGCCCTTGTGCTAAGCTCTGGAAACCCTGACAGCAGTGAGAGGATTTATTGCTCTTTCAAGAGGCCTCCAAGGCCCAGCCCTCTCACCCTGTGAAAAGGCAAAGCCTAGGGGGGCGGCAGACACTCCCCTGAGGGCTAGAATAGGGGCTACCGTTGCCTGTCCAGACAGCTACCAGGAGGAGGCCATGAAGAAAAAGAGCTGTTGTCCTGTTGCCACAGCAACCAGAGGACATTCCAACATGGCTTCCTGGATGTCATGCCTATGCCCTGACTTGGCACCAGGCATGTGGGTGTTTGGAGGGCAAATCAAACACTCCATAAGCTGGGGATTTGCAGAGCGGGCGAGGCCCCCTGAATCTAGGCCTGAGGATCCCCTTTAAGGGGCTTTTCTGTGTTGATACTTAAGGAAAGACCCCTGGAACTGTCAGCCACTGCCTCAGTCCTTGACAGCACCAAGGTCAAAAGTTTCAGGTCCGCACTGAATTAGCAATGACGATTCCATATGCACCTACAGATCCAGAGGGGCCTACTCATGAGTAAGCAATCATTGACAGGCCTCCACAGCCAGAAGCAGTGGGAAGGGGCGGGACATTGGGAGCATCATCGTCATCATCAGGAGATGATGCTGGGCTCTCAGATCTGGGGCATCAACTTAGGCCATCCCTGGCAATAAAGGCACTATTATAAAATATACAGCTGATGATAAGGCATTACACATTGAGGAGTGTAGTGGGGGGGGCCTCAGTCCAAACGTGGCACTCATGCTGAAAAAGTTCCCAATTCAAATTAAAATGCATGGGCCTTCAGAAATGCAGACACCTCGAAGGCATTGAAGAATTGGATTGCCACCACCAAGCTTTCTGCTTTTAATTCCGCCCTCCCATTTATTTATACACCACCCTTCGGCAAAACATCAGGGCAGCGTACAGCAGAATTTTATTTTGTTTTTATAAAAAAAACCTTTTAAAAATGCAGTTTTTACATAGAACCCAGTGATAAAAAAGGAGTTCTTCCAGTTGGCTTTCTGTCTGTCATACAGCTCTTGGGGAAGACTCAAAGCTTGGTGGTAAAGCAGCTAAAATCCTTGACATTTCCAGGTAAGCTGAGAGAGGGACTCCTAGCTCTCAGCCTCTGGAGAGCTGCTGAAAGTCTGTGTGACAATATAGTGCAAAAGGCGGCTTCCGATGTTCCTAAAGCCCTAGAAAGAGCACTTTTTGCAGAGATCACGTTGTGAGACGTTTGTGGGGAAGGGCTTTAGTTCAGTGAGAAAGCTTTGCATGCAGAGGACCCCAGGTTCGCTCTGCAGGCAGAGCTGGCAGAGAAACACCCACACCCCGGCTTAACCCCCAGAGAGCGGCTGCCGGCCAGTGCAGACAATACTGAGCTCTATGGACCAATGTGACCTGACTCGGCCCGAGGAAGTTTCCTACGTTTCTGCAGGCGGAGAGGGGTGGGCGGTGGCCAGCCTATTGAAAAGGGAGGGATCAACCCTGCTGCCTTCATCTCTCTTTTTCCAGCCATGGATTCCTGCTATTCCGCCCCCCCCCACCCCTTTCCTTGCAGACAGATCTCCCCTTCTCTGACCCACCTGCTCCTTGGGGCTTCTGCATGGCGCGCATGCACGCATCTGAAGAATTTGCGGCTCAGTCAGATATCGGGCTACCAAATCTCAAAAGCCAGTTTTCCAGGAGTGATGAAAGGGGTCCGAGGGGGTGGGGGGACAAGAAGCAGGAAGGAGCGTCTGCTGCTGAAATTCCTGGGTCTCTCTCTAGGAAGTCTCGCTTTGTACGTTTAACCCCTTGAGCAAGGGGACACTATGTAGCATTTTAAGTGGGGGGGGACATACTTACTTACAGATGAAATGCATAATCAAAAAAGAGGATACCTTTTTGCATAAAATGCGCGCGTGCTTCTTTGCGGAGATGCGCGTTTCGAAACAATTGCAACAATTGAAGCAGAAATATATTCGTGGTAACTGTTGTGTCTGCTCATTCGGCTATGCAGCCACTGCCTGTGGATGATGTAGCAACTTCCCCGCAGATCCACACCATACATTTTCATTTATTTTACATTTTATTTCTATCCCAATTCAGACCCCTGAGTGACCCTATTGAAACCAGCACTGAAAACACAGGAAACCTTTCAACGCACCCCCCCAAAAGAAAAAATGAATTCCCCCAAGGAGTCTTGGGAACTGTAGTTCTTTAAGGGTGAATTGTAGCACTGTAGAGAAAGACTACAGTTCCCAGGGGGTGACGTCATGTGTGTTAGATGCGTTTCAAGTGCATAGTGTTAATCTCCACTCCATCTAGGGGGTTTTTTCCGTCTTCAACCCAGACTTGATGGGGAGATTCCATCGAATAGACTGGACTGTTCTCCTTAAAGTAGGGCACATGACCACCCTAGGTAGTTCTCACTGTGGTGGTAAACCTGTGTCTAGACTGCAGCACTTCAGATCTGGGTGGGGCCACACATGGTTGAATGCACCACCATAAAGGGATTATATCCTGTAGGTAGGTAGGTTGAGTACTTTGGCTCAGCTAACAGTGTAGACAAAATATCTTTTATTAAAAAGATAAAGCATGAACAATTAAAAGTCAAAACATCAATGAGTTTTTTTTAAAAGTAACCATAAAAAGATCAGAACTGACTGATTTGTAAAAATGTTACATGGGGGGGGGGGAATATGAGAGAGAGACATTGCACACACTTCAAGAAAAAATGTAATTTTTTTTTTAAAAAAAATATCAGAACTGCCCCGCACTGTAGCAGTACTAATATTTATTAAACTGCAAGACAACAGGAACATTTTAGCCTGGTGCCTAAATTCTAACAACCTTGGAACCTACAATGGCAGAACACCATGTCAGAGGCTGTAGACTTGGTTCCTGGCTCTGAGCCAGAGGCTGCTGATCGAGGGAAGAATAAAGCTATCAGTAGCTGTTGTTTAGTCGTTTAGTTGTGTCTGACTCTTCGTGACCCCATGGACCAGAGCACGCCAGGCACTCCTGTCTTCCACTGCCTCCCCCAGTTTGGTCAAACTCATGCTGGTAGCTTCGAGAACACTGTCCAACCATCTCTGTCGTCCTCTTCTCCTTGTGCCCTCCATCTTTCCCAACATCAGGGTCTTTTCCAGGGAGTCTTCTCTTCTCATGAGGTGGCCAGAGTATTGGAGCCTCAGCTTCAGGATCTGTCCTTCCAGTGAGCACTCAGGGCTGATTTCCTTAAGAATGGATATGTTTGATCTTCTTGCAGTCCATGGGACTCTCAAGAGTCTCCTCCAGCACCATAATTCAAAAGCATCAATTCTTCGGCGATCAGCCTTCCTTATGGTCCAGCTCTCACTTCCATACATCACTACTGACTACTTGCTACAATAGCCATGGTGTACCTCCCACTGTCGTTGTGTTATTATGCTTTTTATTATGTTTTTATTATTGTGCTCTGTATAGTGTGTTCTCAATGTTGTACACTGCCCTGGGATTTTTTGATAGAGGAAATAATAATAATAATAATAATAATAATAATAATAATAATAATGGATTTAAAATTGTTCTTTGTATATTCTTAAGGGACCACTGTAATTGTGGGTTGCAGGCAGGAGGCCACTGAACCAGATGCAACAGCACCAGGTATATAGAACCAGAGTCAGCCCCCTTCAAAGGTACCTTCTGCTGGGTCCAAGGAGTCTATGCAGGTTAGGCTGAGACATAGTTACTGGCCCAAGCTCACCTGGTGATCTTTACCTTTCTGCTTATCAGTTATGACGACAGAAGCTGATGAGCCTTTGCACCTTTTAAACTGTTTGCGCATAAGTCAGGATTCCAATAGCTGGAAGTGTAATCCCCGCAGCCGTTGGGTTGGTTTGCTGTACCTGGGCAGAACCGTACCTGTTGAATATCCGCCTTTGCATGCAGCTGCTTAAAGATACAAGAATGGCAAGCTCGCTCAGCATTAGCATGAACAAAAGAGTAATCGCATTTTAAGATTGGCATGTTTGTTACAAAGCAGTTGTGTACTGGAGTCCTCTTCAGTCAGAGGGCTGAATTTTTATCCTCAAGTGGGAAAGTGATATACATAAGGAAGTGGAAGGGGTTTAAATAGTGGGGACAAAAGACAAGAGGGCAAGCCCAGATATGTGACAATTTAGGCAAATAGATAAAGATCCTTATCTGGATCTTTGAGACTGTTGGGAGCCCTGGAGCAATTCCAAAAACAGGAACTCCTTGCTAAGGAAGTTCCCTGGATTGCTATGTCGTACAGCAGCCTTTACTAGCCTGATCCCAACTCCCAGCAGCCCCAGAAAGCACAGCCTCTCTGCTCTCTGTCTATAGATTAAATGGCAAAATTAAAGGTGCTAGCCCCTGTGACTTATTTTGGGTACAAACCCAGCTGATAGCCCAACACTTCAGATACTATTTCACAAAATTGCTATTTGTGGTCTTCTTGCGGACAAATTAGAAATGCAAACTATGAGTCAGGGATGATGGGATCTAAGAATCCAACATCTGGTTCCCCATCCCTGAGGTTGTATATGCCAGTGATATTTTCCTAGAAAAAGAGGTACCAGAACGCCTCCCTTGTTCTTTATAATGGCAGTGGCGCCCACCTGAGTTCCAGCTGAAAAAAAGCCCTGGTAATCACCATACATTTAAAGCACCCAACTCCCCCTCCCAAAGAATCATGGGAACTGTAGTTTATCTGTGTGAGTGCCTGGAGGCAGTTGGAGGAAGGATGGCGGCTAATGGATTGAGGTTGAATCCTGACAAGACGGAAGTACTGTTCTTGGGGGACAGGGGGCGGGCAGGTGTGGAGGATTCCCTGGTCCTGAATGGGGTAACTGTGCCCCTGAAGAACCAGGTGTGCAGCCTGGGAGTCATTTTGGACAATTCAGTATCCAGGTCAGCTGTCTACCAGCTCCATCTGGTACGCAGGCTGAGACCCTACCTTTCCGCGAACTGTTTCGCCAGAGTGATGCAAGCTCTAGTTATCTCCCGCTTGGACTACTGCAATGCGCTCTATGTGGGGCTACCTTTGAAGGTGACCTGGAAACTACAACTAATCCAGAATGCGGCAGCTAGACTGGTGACTGGGAGTGACCGCCGGGACCACATAACACCGGTTCTGAGAGATTTGCATTGGCTCCCAGTACGTTTCCGAGCATGATTCAAAGTGTTGGTGCTGACCTTTAAAGCACTAAACGGCCTGGGCCCAGTAGACCTGAAGGAACGTCTCCACCCCCATCATTCTGCCCGGACGCTGAGATCCAGCGCCAAGGGCCTTCTGGCGGTTCCCTCATGGCAAGAAGCAAAGCTACAGGGAACCAGGCAGAGGGCCTTCTCGGTAGTGGCACCCGCCCTGTGGAACACTCTCCCATCAGATGTCAAAGAGATAAACAACTACTTGACATTCAGAAGACATCTGAAGGCAGCTCTGTTCAGGGAAGTTTTTAATGTGTGACATCTTAGTGTATTTTTGGTCTTTCTTTGTTTGGTCTTTGTTTGTTTGGTCTTAGTACCCAGCCAGATGGGTGAGGTACTAATAAATTATTGTTGTTGTTGTTGTTGTTGTTGTTGTTGTTACTACTACTACTACTACCTGTCACAGAACTACAGTTTCCAGTGCTCTTAAACTACAGTTCCTGGGATTATTTGGGGAAAACATGCTTTAAACGGCTGGTGCATTGACAGCAGACCTGCTACCTCACAACAGGCTCTCAGTGGACAGGTACCCTGTATTCCTAAAGATACTGGACAAACTCTCTTTTGTTTCTGCTTCCTATGCCTTCCCAAGTGCCAAGCACTGTTTCACAGCCAGTGCCCCAGACCAGGCACCAGTAGCCATTCAGAAATATTAGCATTCTTTTGTGAAACCCAGGGAGGCTGATCCAGAATGTTTTAAAGACAAAACACTTTTGCTTGCATCTGGAATGCTATCCCCAGGGGAAACCGTGTCAGCTTTTAAGTACCAGACTAGGACATTTTATTTAACCATCCCTTTGGTAGTTAAGCTCTGCCTCTTCATCTTTGAGTGGAGTCGGGTTAGGAATTGGTAATAATAATAATAATAACAATAATAATAATAATAATAATAAATTTATTATTTATACCCCACCCATCTGGCTGTATTTCCCCAGCCATTCTGAGCGGCTTGCAACAAAAGATTAAAAATACATTAAAACACCAGTCATTAAAAACTTCCCTAAACAGGGTTAAACTGAAGACAAAAACTTCAAGAAAGAATGGGAAAAAATTATAATTTATTTAGGAGACCACTGTAAGCAGATGAAAACATTAGCAGGATTTTAACACTTGTAATGTAACAATATGGACAATATGGAGAAATACAAAATATGGATTACGAAATAATATGCAGCTGAAAATGTTAACAATAAGACCCTTGAAGGGGATGGTGGGAAGTCTGGAGATTCAGAGAAATCTCTAAAGGTAGATATGTATTTGGCATTGTTATAGCTTTACACTTGTAAAATCAAATAGAAATTATTATTTTTAAAAAAGGAATTGGCCTTATGGTGCTGTTGGATGAGCATTTTAGGAATTTTTGTATTGCACCTTTGTTTTAAATTTGGTTTTTAAATTCAGTCTATACATTTGTATTTTGTTTTGTTTTGTAACATGTCCTTTTTGAAACATGTCCTTTTTGGGGGTTGGACTAGATGACACTTTGGGTCCCTTCCAGCTATACAGATTGGTGATTTTATGGCCCAACATTCAGTCCTCTCAA